GAAGACAAGAATATATCTTAGAATTTATCATTCAGACAAGAAATCTGATTTAGTCCTGGAAGATACGGACACTGATTTGATTTTTTTCCTCTTGTGAAATCTGCATTTATTCAATAAATATGTCAAAGGTAGATTTAATGTGTTTACAAGGTCTTAAATATAACTGGAAGGGTTAGCATAACCTGCATGTTTTCCCCATTATCCAGCCCCCTACACCAGCAGGAGCTATTTATGCCCATGCTGTCATACTTCCTTCCTGTGTTTTGAATCAAACGATCAGATCTACATTTTAGTACAGATGGATTGGGCTTTCATCTGTGCCTGAAATTCAATTCGAGAACGGCCCCAGTATTGCCAAAATAAATGTTGGCAACATCTAATGTGGCAGCAGGTTTCACGGCATGACTTAAAAATAGCATACCATGTGTGGCATGCTTTTGGAGGCCTTTGTTGGTTTTTTAACTACTAAAAGGCCATTTGCAATGGTTACAATAAGGAATAACGTAAACACACATTAATAGTCATGATTTATTCTATGACTTGTGGTATTTCGTGAAATCAGACTGGATGTGGCCTCTTATTTCTCGGGCGTTTTGACTAACTGCAATTGGCACCACAAAAAAAAAAAGCATAATTTTGTATTTCATGCATTCAAACACTGTTGCAACATGATGATTATTAGAGTTTCAAAAGTACATATATATTAGCCTAGAAATCTAAACCAACAATTCTCCTCTGCTGGTTGATTTAGCCACACCCACTTTTAGCGATTGGCCCAAACAATTTTGTGTCTTGCCATTCACAGCGCTCTATATTTGTTGGGTGGGCTTTGGACCAGAGCCGCGACGAAGAAAAAACAAAGATGGCGTCGGCTCAGGAATGGCACTCATTTAAAACAGCTTTGGCAACAACTTTGCGCCAATTACCGGTACACTTGGGCTTTTCTTTGCAACATGAGTAGATAGAAAAACTAAACTTCATAAACTTCATTTATTTTGAAAAAAAAAATGTATTTGCTTGTTCTTTGACGATGGCGGACTGTCTCGTTGACTTGCTTGTTGTCATGATATTCATTTCTCTGTCCAGTTGTGTGCGGAGTTTAAAAGACAAATGTATACTCTACCGCATGACCGAGCTCTGCCTATAGAGAACCTAAGTCCCAGCCGTCTACTTCCAGACTATGGGTACCCAGCTGCCATAAAGGAAATGAATGGGAGTTTATGAGTGGATAAACGTTATTTTCTGATCCCGTATGATACCCAGCAAGCATGCATAGGTGGGGCCTATATATATATATGTATTTGAACAGGATAACCGTATGGGTGCCAACAGGGTTTGTCCACAGTTTCCATTGTGGCCCCACAGAGATTTGCCCACATGGATTTTGACAAGCTTGTGTATGACAAAACATCTGAGTCTCTCTATAACTCTTGAAGGGCCCGTTGAAATTTGAACCCCTGTGAGGCCCCCATGAAAACTGCAAACAAACCCTGTTGGCACCCATACCATTTTCCCATATATATACATACATGGGGCCCACCTATGCATTCTCGTTGGAATATATGCCATGAATTTTACATATGATGTCCGGGAATTTTGAAGGAGCAGTATGTAAAAATAAAGCGAGAATTTTACAATGTTTCAGTCATTTTGGAAGGAAGTTACTGAAACATATTTTATATCCAGCTGCGGGAATTGTCAGTTTTTCTCCTTTCAAAACAAAGGACGGAGGGCCGTAACTATCGTTTACCATCAGTGAGCGTAGTGTTGCTGCGTCTCCTGTGAACTAATGCTGCAGCGCCAACAATTGTAATTTTTTCTTTGTTCCCTTGACCCATGAGCCGACCAGAAGGGGAGGAGATTTAGGTCATGACCAGACTATGTATTTACAAATATCAATCAATCAATCATGGCTTGCCAGACTTGTACGGTCCAGTTTCTTGTGCAAGGACACTGACCTGTTCTTTCCACACTAAATTTCATTTTATCATGCAAATAATTATGCAAATACATACAGGTCTGTAAACTCTGCTTTAGAAACGTAAAAAAGATTAAACCAAGCCAAATCAATCGCCTTAATCAGTCCATTCTGATATGATTAGTGACTAAAGATGTTTCATAGTAAAATTCCCAGCCATATTCTCCATTCAGACCAATGGAAGTGGATTTTAAATGCAAAATCCAACTATTTTTTCTGCATTTCTTTTAGATTCCTTTTTGATGGATCAAAGTGTCCAGAATCAGATCCAAACCAAGTATTTTGTTATTTTAAGGCAGACCTGGGCATTTTACGGCCCGCGGGCCACATCCGGCCCTTTGGTTGACTTTGACCGGCCCGCGTAAGGTTAATTGGAAATTACAAAATAAATGTATTTTCTCATTTTACCTCATGCATGGGCTGAGGCTGCATTGCTTTTATTTTGAAGTTGTATTTTACGTGCACAATGACGCAATACGTATAGCAACAAGTGCCCGCGGTTGACATGGTGATTGTAGCCTGAGAAATGTCCGCTCATGCAAAAAAAAAAAAAAAAAAAAAAAAAAAAGAAAGATGCCGAATGCAGGATTTTCAACAAAAATTGGACTGCTAAGTATTTTTTTTACTGAAGTCGGAGGTAAAACCGTGTGTTTGGTTTGCGGGGAGGAGATTGCCGTGTTTAAGGACTACAATTTGAGTCGGCATTACGACAAGAAACACTCGGAAAAATACAAGAACTTGTCTGATGCTGAGAGGGCACGGACGTCCAAAGCTTTGCTAGCAAAGTTGCAAAAGCAGCAAGGCTGTTTTACTAATCTTCACACATCCAGGGATGCAGCAACCAGGACCAGCTTTGTGATATCCCACAAAATAGCTAAAAACAGCGAACCGTGACCAGGAGGATCGAGGACATTGCGGGGAACCTGGAGCTTCAGCTGCAACGTGAAGTGGCAAGTTTTGACTTTTTCTCATTAGACGAGAGCTGTGATGTCCGCGACACAGCCCAGCTGCTCGTATTTGTCCGGGGGATAACGGACTTCAAGCTCACAGAGGAGCGGGCAGCAATGCGGTCGATGAGAGGGACAACGACAGGGAGTGATCTTTTTACAGAGGTAAATGCGTGCATGGACACTCTGGGATTGAAATGGGAGAGACTGTCACAGCCGGGCGTACACTGTGCGACTTTTTCACTTTTTTGAGCCGATTTTCCAGTCGTGCGAGAAGCCACGACATCGGGGCGAGTTTTGCGCCGAGCGGTCGTGTAGTGTACAGGGGGTTACGAGAGGCGATTAACACCACGTGACCAGCTGCCGATCAGCAGTCGTGAGGTCGCACTCTGGTGTGTTTAATATTTCGCTCGTCCCTCGTGAGGGTATCGCACTGTTGAAGCGGCGCTGCGAGCAGCTGCGACCCAAAAAGTATCAGAACCGCTCACGGCGCATGCGCGCGCAATCCTGCATCAACGCTTGTCGCTCGCTTTTTCCCTAATAACACACGCTGTTCGTTTTTGTTTCTACACGTTTTTTTTACTCACAAAGATTGTCAAGAAAGTGTGTTTGTCGTGTTCATGTCAAATTAAACTGATCACAAAACACAGATTTACTTTATTTCGTTTTCCTCATCCAACCCCCATAAATCCCTGTGTGTCCTCCAGCAGCACTCCCGAAGGACAACAGGCAAAACAAGACAAAAAAGTCTAACGTGTTGAGTAAAAACTGCTATTTTTAGCACATTTTTAGGGCCGACGTGTTGCTACCAGACGTACAGTGTGAGCAGTCAGGTCGCATGCGAGAACTGGGTCGTACAGTGTGAGCACATGACTCGTGAGATCTGCTCTGCGGGGAAGTCGTACAGTTTGAGCTGAAGCTGAGTGCTGCGAGTGAAAAAGTCGCACAGTGTACGTCCGGCTTTACAGGGAAAAATGTCGGACTTTTGAAACGCATGCAAGATAAAGTGACAGAAATCGATGCAGATCAAAAATAGTGTTTTTGCATTGTATTATACACCAACATGTGTTGTGCAAGTCAGTGCTAAAAATCAACCATGTTACTGATGTTGTTACTAAAATAATAAACTTCATCAGGGCGCGGGCGAAGAATCACAGACAGTTTGTGGCTCTTTTGGAGGACTCCACACAGCTGCCAGATGGCTCAGCCTGGGGAAAGTGCTGAAGAGGGTTTGGGACTCGAAAGCAGAGATTCGGGATCTCTGCTGGATTTCTACTCTTCTCTTAAGGAGGAGGACTTTCCAAACCTGAGGAGATGTGCTCAGAAGATGTTGGTTCTCTTCAGCTCTACCTACATTTGTGAACAAACATTTTCAATGATGAAGTTTACAAAATCCAGGTAAAGATCCTCTCTCACTGATGATCATGTGTCAGCTGTGCTTCGCTTCTCCACCTCAGACATTCAACCTGACTTTGATGCACTCGTTAAAGCCCAGCAGAGACTAGATTTCTCTCACTGAATAAGAAAAAAATTGCTTAAAAACACAAAATAAGGTGTTTGGACCACAAATGTAGGCAACTAGCAGTGAACTGGGACACTTTTTTTAAACCTCTTTCTCAAGATCACAGTTCAGTGATTTTATTTTACAGACAATACTGTGTGTCTGTAGAATTCTAAGAACCTCTTTCCAACAATATTTGAAACTCAGAATGTGTTTTGGAGTGAATGTGACTGAAACTGTTAACTAATATAAGTCACAAATGTTTAACAAAAACCAAATGTGCACACTTTGTTTACCATTGCCTTGGGAAATTTGAATAAATCACATTTTTGTAAGCCAACCTCACTTTTTCCTTTTTGCTCATTTATAACATATAGTCTACTCTTACCAGCTTGAAGAAACAATGGTATTTACTGCTTTTTTATAAAGAAATACCATTAATATTATGCATAATTGACTTCAGCCTTTTGGCCTGCGGCCCTCCACAATATTTTCTATTTCTCATGTGGCCCCATGGAAAAAATAATTGCCCACCCCTGTTTTAAGGGTACCAGCTTTTTTAAAACATGTTTTATTTGCTTGTATCTTTTACATGGCGCACCGTTTGACACCCCCTACTTGGGTCTCGCTTTTGAAGAACTTGCTTAAAGAGCAAGTAACGTCTAAATTAACTTTTTTTTGCTGATGAACTGTATAAATGAGTGTCTAATAGTGTTTTAAATGTGTGCATTCTTTATTTTAGCATTTTGGTGCATTTTCTTTAAAAATTAAAAATTCTGTCTAAAAACCACAGTAATGCGCCACCTTCAGCTGAAAACATAGAATTTGAGTCATTTTGAATAAATTTTAGCCAATGGCTAAAGAGTAAAGTACTACGTAAACCAGTAGAGTACTACGTAGCAGCTCCGTGCCAAAGTTATAAAAGCAACGAGCGTCTCGGCCACGCCCTGTGGCGAGTGGGAGTTGGATTTGCAAGCGAGCGTAGGAGGTCAGCGGTAGTTCAGCATTAGCATATAGCATTAGCATATCTTAGTCTTTAGCATATCTTTTAGTGTTATAAATACTTATTTAGTGTTAGCTTGGCTGTGGGATATTGTAGTTTAGTTAGTGTTTGGCTGTTAGTGTAATTGGGAAAGTATTTCGGGTTTAGTGTTCCATATCGTCTTAGTATTGGTGAGATGGTGTAATGTAGTATGCTTGCGGTGACTCTGTGGGCATTTTACCCGTGATTCTGCACGTCTCCGTTTGAAGAGGGAGGCTGCCCACCGTGGTTCTTCCGCGATTTAGATGCAACCCACCGACTCTGCTCCCCCACCCGGCGGGCTCCAGTCTGAGGTGAGTAAGCTAAATAAACGTTTTAACATCTTCTAAAGACAATTCCCTACCTAAATGCAAAGTCTGAGAGACGTGGTTCACTTCCTTTAGCTAGTCAGTCGGCAATTCTGCAACAGTGTCTCTAACTGACGCAGCACTAGTTGACAGACAGCATTACAGCGTGAAATCCAGCTTGTGACCCGATTCTGTAAGGAATTCTATTCAGGAGGTCACATTTCAGGCTCTCCACATCATGTGTGACTGACTTTTACGTTATAACAACGATCACACACTAGGAATGTTATAAAGTGCCTATATAGGATATTCTTTTGTATATTATCTGACTTTATAAACTCCCAACAACAATGTGCTTATATATTTTTTTTCAGGCTAAATCTACCCAAGACACTGGCTGTCAGACTGATTTAGCTGCAAGAATGCACTTGTCCAGGCTGATGTGAAACCTTCCCTGTAGCAAAGGTGAATTATTTTTAATAATCTTCTATGTAAACATTTTATTATCACCTTCTAGTTTTAATTTGTTTTACAGATTATTGTTACACGTGATTTTATGCTCTTTTAAACATTTATAAATGTGCTGCTTCTTTGTTTTTACATAGCCAGCCAGAATGGAGTTCACAGCCGCAGTGTGTCTGGTGACCCACAGGGACCATGATGGAAATTCATCTTCCAGAAAGTCCCAGAGCAGCGGCCACACCCCCTGAAAAGACCAAGATGTGAGGTGTCTGCTGTTGATTCCAGCTTCCACCTCAGTGACAGTGCAAGCTCAGTGAACTGTTCAAGGTAAAAAAAAAAATTAAAACATTTCAGAATTTTTAAGATATTAACAATTAAATAAGTATGTGATTACATCATGAAGGAGGCTACTGATTCTGCCCCTGTGACACTTGGTGGTGACGTGTGAGCTGATTCACCTGGAAAATAACTTTTACATTAAATATTTTGTTTTTGCTATCAAAAGTAATTTAACTAATAACCTGCATTATTGCAGGACACTCAGCAAAATATGGACTCTACACCATGAGGCAGGCACACATTAATATTCTATAAGAGCACATAAGGTGAGCAACACCACATATTGTACACTGTCCTGAATTTGTTTTCTTTCTGCATCTCATCATTAGCCTGGCTGATCACCTGATAACTCCTGTCATCTGGTTATGACAGCATGAGGATGTCCTCACACACATGTAACCTATCAGCTCATCTGGCAGAATAGAGAGAGAAGAGACAACACCACATCTCCTGTTCCTGGAAAGCCTTCAGCCATCCTTCGATGACTGAGAACCTCCATCAGCTCTGTCTCCTGTCTGCCTACAATTATTATAATAAATATTGTGTTTGACAAGTTTTTTGTGCTGCCAAATATCTCATTTAGATTCCAGTTTTGATATTTTAATGGATATTTATAAATTACATTGATTATCACATTTTTGTTGCATGTTTAACTAGCTCTATTGTGATGAATTAAACTAGCACCTCACTGTTAAAAGCTCGTTTTAATTTCAAGCATGTTTAAGTATTTATGGACATGAACAAAAACAGGAAATATATAAATTGAGATTTATTTAATTAATATAACAAATAAGGGGGAAAGAGTCATTGAAAGGCACATTCTTCTGGAAGCTCCTGATCCTGACGACACCAGACCAGCTGCAGACACCAGAGGACCTAGAACCGAGAGAGCAGCTGTTATTAGTAAATAAATAAAGAAATCAGGGCAGTTTTAGTGGGCTGAACACATTACAGAATAATTTTCTCATGGGGTATTTTCATAACTTTATATGCAGCAGACTGTAACTTGAGCCCAGGGCTACCGGAGAGCTGCTATCCAGCATGTTTCAGTGGATTTTCCTGCTTTAACAGGTTAGATTAGCTGTTAAGCAGCTCAGCTATTTGTTGCTGATTAAAACCAGGTGTGCTGAAGCAGATAAACCTCTAAAACATGCTGAATACTAGCTTTTTAGAGCCGTGGAGCCAAACACTGCAGCTAATCCAATGCTATGGCTAACGGCTACTTACCTTTCAGAGGTGGTTCTGTTGGGTCGGTTCTGGGAGTTTCAGGCAACTCACACGCTCAAAACAATAAGACTCAGGTCCGCTTGTCTCCTCCAAATAGACTTGGTCCCTTTCTTCTCGAGTGTCTGGGTAAGGAGGGGGAGAAACGTCCTCCACTTCTAATAACTGCTCAGAGTGAAGGGAGCTAGCTTCGTCTAGTTAGCCATCGTCTTCGTCACTGCCGCGGCTCCGCCCTCTCGGTCCTCCAGGCAACGCCTACTAATGTTGCATTTTTTAAAATTGATACGTGGGTGGAGAAGGACTCCGAGGCTCGATTGACCTGCTCTTTAATTTCTGCATAAATAACAGACAGATTGTAGGTCCGATAATTTTGTTCCAGTTAAAAAGAGTTATGCTCAATAAAGAGCATTTTTATCAAAAACCTCACATCCTAAAAACTTCTATGAATCTAACTATAATTTGTTTAAATAAAAATTTTACAAGTTTGTCTAAATCATCCAGTATTTTAGCTCTAATCTAAACTTCTGCCCCAGCTGAGCTACACTCTACCCGTTTTTCCTAGTCGCATAGCAACGGCATCTTCTACACACTGGATAGGTTTGGTACTGCTTGTCAAATCTGAGGCCCCCACGGAGGCCAAGTTCTGGCGTGATCTTATCGACGTATTTGTCTCATAGTGGACCAGATCCAGGTGATTGAACTCCTCGTAGACCTGAATACTCAGGAGGCACTGCAGACTACAGCTCCATGTTCGTGTCGAGAAACTCGACTCTTTGAATGAATTCTTTCAGATGTCTTCTTCCTTATTCTCTCCCTCCCTTCCGCCTGCAAACTGACACACTTTCTTCTAATTCATCGGCAGCATGGTGAGGGATGGATAGAGCGTGGGAGCGAGTGGGATTGATGAAGAAAGAAAGAAAAAAAGAAAGAAAGAAAAAGTCTGTTTTGGCATCAAAAGGCTGTCTCAGGGACTCGGGGGAATACATTGACTTTTCGATGGGCTTTTTGATTATGTTTTTTCTGATTTATTAACTCGATACACAGCAGCTGCATTAGAAGTGTACTCTCAAATGTCCTCATTGCAATAATTATATTGCACACAGTCTAACTCGTCTCCTATAATAATTAACCATTATTTCATAACGTTTCTTGGCACTAGGACACGGTATTTTGATGGCTCATCTTTCGTAGTGCAAATTTGAGGATGACTAACTTTTCTCGAAGAGGCCATTGCATCTCCCCAAGTCATTAAACATTTAAAGGGCTATTCCCCAAGTGTTCAATGCTGCAGAGAATAACGCACCCCATTATATGTGACCCAGAAACAACTTGCTCCTATCTCGATTCCCATCTCCTTGCTGCAGTAATTATTAAGAGGAAAAACAAGCTCTTTAGAGACAGATTAAAGAGAATACCGTCTCCCTCTCGTCATAATGCTGTTTTGCTTTGTCAAAACAGAGGGGGGTTAGGGTTAGCTGGAGTTAGGGTCAGCGTGAGCTGGATATATGTTTAATTGAACATGACTTCATTCCTGCATCTGCACTTGTTTGGATAATTTGAATAAATCATCATTTGCTAAATTCACACAAATGTGATGGATCAGAGAATTACTGTCTCACAGTTATTGCACATAGTGAATGCATGTCATCGTTTTCTGTTTAGCTGCTTCACTGATGACTTTAGTCGGTTGAGATTAATCAAAATCTTTCCTGATTGAGATGAAATTAGGATTGGCCTTAATACTAAATTAGCCTAGGACTGCATGGAGATGGGTGATTCTCTGTGGCAACCCCTGAAGGGAAAAGCCAAAAGGAAAAGAAGATTGTTCACAAGGTGGCGTATCAGATTCCTGGTGAATGCAGTCTTTTCCATCATGTTAAAGGCTCAATATGCACACATTACAAATGGCTGTTGCATTGTCTTTGCTGTCCGGTTCAAAATACCACCAAAGTGCAGACATTTTCTCTCTCCTGAGGTGACACGTTAGCACTGTATTAGCTTGCTAGCTAACAGCTACATGTCATGGGGTGTTTCTTAATGTCAAGGCGCCTGGCCTTGCGAGGCGATGGCTTGCGAGGCTAGGCGACTTGCTTACGAGGACACTGCCCTTCCTTGGTCAAAGAAAATGGTTAAATGGAACAGACTTGCATCACGTGACCGCAGCTTCCACGGCGGTCACGTAATGTCACGTGACACAGGAGATAACATTATATTTTATACGTATTAGTTTCAATATAAATATATAACAAGACCTTTACTTTTCAAATTGTGTTTATATTTGTTAAATTAAATATATAAGCGAGTTACTACTCGCTAACCACCGAAGCTGCAACTACTAAGCAACTAACCAACCATAGATAACTTCTTTGGATCTAAAAAAATACATTTTAAATTAGTTGACTTACTTTTAAACATGAAATTTGCCCCAGAAGTAGCTGCCAGCTTCTGATCCGCCATCCTTTTGAAAATACCGTGGTGTAATCTGGGTCATTTTTGACCAAGGTTAGGCTACAAGACATCCCCCGTGTATCCTTGCTCAGCTAGCTAAACAACTAACAAACTGAGAACACTCGCCTTGGTAGAACATGAACATTGGAACACGTCTTGGCGGCTCCCGATGACGTATCTCCTAGGCAACCGGGGTGGGGCCAAGACATCAAGGTGAGGTTCCTTGGCATTGAGAAACACCCATGGTCTCTGAATTCCCAGCTTGCCGTGTAACTAAGCAGTTCTGACTTGCTTTTAGCACCCCTTAGTGTCTGTTTGCCAAACCAAAAGAAAGACCTCCTCTCCTCGCTGTGCTTTTGTCTTTTTAACACCTTAATCTAACAGCTGAAATGTCTCCTTGCAGACCGGACAGGCAACTCTGAAGTTGCAAGTGGAATTTTTTGGCCACAGGGGGCGATAGGGACTGGGTGGTGTTTAATTACCCCGTAAAGGATCGTTTTAGCACATACTGGCTCGAGAAAATGTTTTAAAAATGCGAAAAGGTTGCAAAGTATCCTTTTAAGGTGTTCAAAGAAACAATGAATATTGATGTAGTGGATTTTGCTAAAATGTGTGATCTGTGTAATTTTATTGATTAGTTTTGATTGGATTAACAAGCTAATGGCTGACCTGATTGTGAACAAGACCAAAGTAGATGGTTACGACAATCTACAAAAGCAATTTTAAAAACTTTTACATTGATACAATGTTTACCTCACTGGGTTATATACTAGCATTTTGTGTTGTGTTTTGTAAATTGCTGCAGCGGTTAGCTTTAGCATTTCCTGTTTCATGTGAAGCACTTTGAATGGGAATACAAAATATGTCCACCAGATTAATGGGCCATTCCCATCTGTACCGGGTCGGCCCGGGCCGGGTAGCGTAGGTTGCTTACATATCTGGGTGGCCTGGTATTTTTCCGGGCCAACCAAGGCTCATTCTCAGCCCTCTTCTCGAGGGAGTCTGCTTCAGGCCGACCAGGGCCGACACACCCACTGCTGACAGCAAATTCACACCTTCCATTAGAGCAAGCCTCTGATTGGTGGGTAGAATCAGCCCATTCACACCTTCCATTAGAGCAAGCCTCTGATTGGTGGGTAGAATCAGCCCACATGGGCTTAAGACAAGGATGTGTGGAATCAACCGGGCCAGGCTGGGGCCGACTGGGGCTACCCGGCCCGGGCCGACCCGGTACAGATGGGAATGGCCCATAAATGTACATTGCTCATTAAATCACTAAGAAATGTTCAGAGATGTTTTAGGACCGCAGTGTCAACATTGCTTTGACTAGCCTTTAGCATGTCAATATGGACTCAAATAATTTCTATATTTCCAAACTGAAACTGTTCAAGAAGCTATCCAGAACAGGTCATTTTTGGTGAACATTACTCTAAGAGATTTTAGGCTTTTCTTGAAACTACATATTGGAATGCAAACGAACAGCATTCACAAATGAAAAGATAAATATCACATCCGTGTAAATTGTATATTCTCTGTTTTGGTTTGAAAACACTGGATCTTTTATGACTCAGATGCCTTTTTTTATTCCAAATATTCAAGTCTAACAGAAGTTCTCTCCGACTCCACTTGATTAGTGCTCTCCAGCGCTCCAGTTTCAGTTCTCTCACAAACTTCTCTTTCTGCCAATAATGACCAGCTCTGCAAGATGCAGTGGAATAATTTAAATCGTCCTGCAGTGCTTCAATCCGCCTGTCTCCTCTGGTGGATTCTGCATTGAAATTATTTGGTTTGTATTATGAAATATTTCTTTTTGATTTCTAAAACACCGATGACATCTCTTGGATTTATTTTTAGGAGTTTGATAAAATCCTCATTTGTCTACATGGACGTAATTTTCACTTTATAAGTGCAGGGACGGGGGGGACGGGACGGGGGGGGGGGGGGTCTTTACAGTATGCTCTAATGGTAAACAGGCTTCAACACTAACGGTTGTTTTCCGCTTGGACCTAGAGCTCAACCGGTTTCAATTTAATATAAAGTAATATTGTTTTTGGATGGTAAAAAGTGCAGGGGTCAAAACTTGACTTTGGAAAAAGTGTGTGTGTGTGTGTGTGTCTATGTTTGTCCAAATAGATTTCTTTCCATTTCCAACCAGCTGTTATGTCATCTTTTTGCTCTTATTCAGGTTTATTTTTTATTACGATCAAGTGATTTTCACTGGATGGAAGTGAAACCAGCCAACTAAGGAGAAATCTTTGTCAGATCTGCCCTCTACTGGACAACTCTAGGACATGCAGCCCACATGTGAGCAGTGCACTGCATCCCCCCTCCCTTCTTCTCCATCCCATTCCCAAAAAACACATCCAGACACCCCCGCATTGATCTGCAGACACAAAGAGAGGCGTGCGTATGTGATTAGTGCTCGCTGTTTTCACATTTCCTGCTAATTAGCGGCTGCATGCTCCTCATCGTAACGGTTATTTAAAAGACATTTTATTTAGCCTGCATCAATAGAGCCATGGATACCATAATTATATATCTAATTACAACATGTTTTCACTATGCAGACATGGGGTTTTATGACTATTTCTACTTTTCCTGTTACAATGCTGATTTAAAAGCTTTTCCTTTGCAATATTTCTACTCTACCTTTATGTTTGGTTTTGTCCTTTTTGTCATAAGGGGTGTAAAAGACATCAAACGGGATTAGTTGTGTGTGGTCAGTGTAGAAGATGTAAAAAGATCTTTCAAATATGATGTGATAAAGCAAGATACCATATGTTGGAGGTATGCATTGAATTAAACGATAATTTGCCTGTTGGTGAATATCTTCTTGAACAACCTCAGTTTAGAGAAGCTGAGGTTAGTGTTGATAGGATTGACAAGCTAATGGGTAGTCGCACTAGGGCCAGTTCCCAAGTTTTAGTTTTTATTTATTTATTTTTATGGTATCTTAAACTACCTTTAAGCGAGCAGGTTGTTTTTCTGTTATTTAATTTTTAACTAGGCCTAATTCAATTCAGTTTATTTAATAGTCTTTGGTATTGTGATTTCTTATAGGTTCATGGTTTTAAAAAAAGATAGAGTTGGTACGGAAAGCATTCAGACCCTCAGTTTTTCACCGTAAATTCTCTAATACAAGCCCGGTCCTTTATTTACTCAAGCGCATCTAGGGTTCAGCCTTAATTGGAAGGAGGCCAGAATTAGAGGCAGGTCTCAATTTGAATTTGTGCAAATTAAACTACCAGTAGAATGAATAAAAACAAGATTTTGTGTCTATTTGAACCTATAAAACACTAGGTTTGTTTATTGAAAATGTACAGGTAACATTGTACGTACAAATGCATATAGAACATGTACAACAAACACCGCTGTTTCAGGTGAAATCCAAGTATTGTAGTAAATGTAGCAAACATGCCGGTAGTGCATTGTAAACACTTGGTGATAATTATGTTATTGATTCACGACAAAAGGCAACAAACCCATTTCCACTCCAAAGTTTAACCGTTCATTCGTGTTCTTGGTTTGAAGTTAAAAAAAATCTTTGAACTGTTTAATCCTTATCCTCCGTGTTAACAGAGTCGCTTTACCTTCAGCAGCTAGCGGTGATATCCATGTGGATGGTGGCAAGTAGGAATAAAAAACTCCCAACACATCAGTTTTCCTTTTCTGACGAATCCCAGCACTTTTCCCTCAGCGCCCTCTTAACAAACAAACATGTCCGTCACTGCCACTCACTGTGACACTCATCCATCCTTCTGCCAACAACTGGAGGGAAAGTGGGCCATCCCTTTATTAACTTCCCCACTGATTACACATTGGTGTCCCCTGTGGACACAGTCTAAAAGGGTGTTTCTCAATGTCAAGGCACCTGGCCTTGCGAGGCGATGTCTTGCAAGGCCAGGCGCCTGGCTTACGAGGACACTGTCCTTCCTTGGTCAAAGAAAACGGTTAAATGGAACAGACTTACATCACGTGACCGCAGTGGTCACGTAAAGTCACGTGACACGGGAGATAATGTTATATTTTATACATATAAGTTTCAATATAAATATATAACGAGCCTTTACTTTTGAAATTGTGTACGTGTTTATTAAATTAAAAATACAAGTGAGTTACTACCCGCTAGCCAACGAAGCTGCAACTACTAAGCAACTAACAAACAATAGATAACTTCTTTGGATCTAAAAAAAAACATTTTAAATTAGCTGACTTACTTTTAAACTTGAAAATTGTCCCCGAAGTGACTGCTGGCTTCTGATCCGCTGTCTTTTTGAAAATACTGCGCTGTATTCTGAGTAATTTTTGACCAAGGCTAGGCTACAAGACACCTCCCATGTATCCTCACTCAGCTAGCTAAACGGCTAACAAACGGAGAACACTCGCCTTGGTAGAACATGAACATTGGAACACGTCTTGGCGGTTCCTGATGACGTATCTCCTAGGCAACCGGGGAGGGGCCAAGACATCAAGGCAAGGTTCCTTGGCATTGAGAAACACCCTAACACTCTGCAGTTCCGCTTTACAACACTGAGTTAACTGCTAAAAACATTAGCACCTACAAGCTATTTGCAGTGAGGATGCGTGAAAACAGTATCAATCTGTTTACCTGCTGTTTTTGTAGCTGTGTTTCTAAGCTGTTCAATAAAATGCCATAAAAAACCTTTAGTAAACCCTTTCCTGTGATGAAGTGATCAAAACTAGCATTTTCCATTCAGTTTCTGCTCATCTTGCGGCCGGAGATTATGATCCGCTATTCTGTCATCGTTCAGTAGGTTTCAATAAGTCATTTGTGGCGCACTACTTTCAGGACACAAAAAAAAAAAAAAAAAAAACACCACTTTTTTTGTCCTGATTGCACGGAATTTGGGTATTTTTACATCCAGTCAACAAAGTAAATAAAGCCTGGGGCACACCGGAGGAAATTTTGAGAAGTCAAGTGGTCACACAGGATGCGCCGCGCCACCGCTGACCGCTTCTTGGAAAGTTGAACGAAAGTCACAACATCACGCGGGACTTGAGAGCAGGAAGTGACTGTTTATACATGATCAGACTTGCTGTCATATTTTGTGAGACTCTAATTCATTAACAGTGGGTAAGTACGCTATTTTTTAAAATATTTTAAGATCAATTGTACTTTAAAGTTATCAATACTGCAGCAGGGTTTGTGCCGGCAGTTACATTTGTGTCATAAAGCCGGCCACTATTAGAGACCGGCCTTTATTTACCCGCACTGACAGCAAGACTGACTAATGTAGGAGACCAGGCCTGTAATGGAATAAGGGCCAGTTTTAGAGGATTTACTATGCTAAAACCAATTAAATGAATATTTTTTCTCATTTAGGTATGCACAGCACCCACATTGACAGAAAAACTGAATTTCAGAATTTTTTCAGCTTTATTAAAAAAGAAAAACTGAAATATCACAAGGTCTTAAGTATTCAGAAGACACCCATACCCTTTGCCTGCCCCCTCAACCGTTCAAGGAAACACCCCTCACCACCACAACCACTACCAACAAACTCCCAATGAGACTCCAGCAGGTCCGACGCGGCGATCGACACCCCCATGCCCTTCACCCTTAACAGGCAGCGCAACCCCATCTTAACCCGTCGAAACTCCAGCGGCATTTCACCCACCTCCACCTGAAGTGCCGACACAGGAGTCGAAGGGTGATTTGCAAGCCAGTGGTTGTTTGGTGTGACCGGCTCTGCGACAGTTTGTTGAGCATGTTCTCGGGCCAAATTCGGCCTCCATCATTTGCGACAACCAGCCCACTATTGAAAACACATCACATTGGATTACTATTGACTTTTCAATTGAAAATTCATTTTAAGACGATTAATGATATTTTTTTCATGCTCTGAATGATTTAGACTCACATTTAATGTGGACAGCAATGAATGTATATTTT